CCTCCACCCCCTCCCCCCCGGATTCAAGCAATTCTCCTGCCTCAGCCTCCCAAAGTGCTAGGATTACAGGCGTGAGCCACTGCGCCCAGACTATCTTTTGATAAATGTGTTTTATTTCAATGTTGTCTCTATTTTCTTCCAGTCATTGCTATGTGTGGTTTTTATGCACATGTGGGCGCACACATACACACACACACACACACACACACACACACACACACACACGGCAGAGTGAGAGAGACAGAGAGACAGCGGGAGAGACAAAGTACATCAGATGACTGCAACCCAGAAACGCCCGGGCCATGTCTGTGGAATGGGCTGTCATACGCGGCTCCAGCTGGGGTATGTTCTTCCTGGAACCCACTGTCCAGTGGGGCCTAAGAGACACACTTCCAGTGAGAACAGCCACTGCAACTTGCCTAAGGATTATAAATGCCATCGCATGCAAACAAAACTTTATTTTATTTTGCATGGTAGGCTTTTTGAGCATAGGGTGGCTTGCAAGAAACTGAGACCAAAGCAGGTTCTTATAGCTATCGAGGTGGCAGGTGACAAAGACTGGAGTTAGCACTGACTGCGCAAGAGGGAGGATGAGGGGGATGCCAACTATGCAAGGAAGCCGGATCTCCACAACTGGCCCTGAGTAGACTGGAGTGAGGAGGAGTGGGAGGAGCTCAAGTTCACTCAAATCTTGATTCTGAGGGCCCGGCGCAGTGGCTCATTCCTGTAATCCCAGCACTTTGGGAGGCTGAGGCAGATGGATCACGAGGTCAGGAGATCGAGAACTTCCTAGCCAACATGATGAAACCTCATCTGTACTAAAAACACAAAAATTAGCTGGGCATGGTGGCACACGCCTGTAGTCCCAGCTACTCAGGAGGCTGAGGCAGGAGAATTGCTTGAACCTGGGAGGCAAAGGTAGCAGTGAGCTAAGATCACACTACCGCGCTCTAGCCTGGTGACAGAGCAAGGCTGTCTTAAAATACAAAATAAAATAAAAAAATAAAATCTTGATCCTGGAAAGATGGGAATGTCATTGAATAATAGAAGGAACCTAGGAGGAAAAATGGTTTAGAGAAAGACAAGTAAGTTGTCTCTGTGCCATCGTGTGGGACACTGAGGAAGCAGGAGACATGAGAATGGGGACTTGAAGAAGGAGACTAAATCTAGCCAGAATGTGGATTTGGAAGTTTTGGGAATACCAAGGACAGCTAACTGAATTGCTGCAAGACTCTCATGGTTTGCCCTCCCTCTTCCTGACCATACTAAATGGACCAGTTAGAAAATTTTTCCTCAAAATGCATTTTCTTGTCAGTCTCCACAGCACAGAGGCTGTGGCTGTGCTTTTGCATGTCCATCCTCTGTCAGAGTTGGAGCAGTGCTCTAGGCATAAAAACGTGAAGGGTGTTTACTTCCTGATATGCAAACTCAGAGCATGACAGCCAAGTCAGACTCAACACCTAATATTGGGAATATACTAACATGGAGTTTCTACAGGTTTGTTTCTGTTCTCCTGCAAGGACGAAACCTTCTGAACATTTTAAGTTCAAGAACTGTGCTGTTCTTTGCATATTAATGATAATGAAGCTGGGAGAACAGTCCCATACATTCAAATCCCAAGCCTTAACAAACGTGTAGTAGTGAACTTTTTGCCCTTGAAGTAAGGGCTGTTTTCATCTAAGATGTGAGATAAATCACAGACTTCTTTTATCTGTCTTTGCCCTGGACCTGAAATGTTCAAAGATAAATTAATTAGTGACAACTTCATTTACAGTAGTCAGACATCAACATTTATCCAGTGTTAGATGTTGTAGCAAAATTTTTCTTATCCCTCTCATTCAAAGGCGTTATAAACCATTACATCTAAAAGAAACATGGGATGCAAAAATGATTACTAATCAGTAACTTCTTCTCCCTTCTTTCTTTTTAATTCTAATATCTCACTCTATTTCAGTTGGCTGACTGGTAGGTTAGAGGGTAAAAGGTACAAATAAATAGACATGTATAAATTAAAAAGTGTCAATTTTCTGAACTTCTAGTACCTACATATTGGTTCATGTTCCTAGCAGACAATTACCTTATCACAAATCCACTCACTTCTCTGAACCCTCAATTCCCCAGATAATCCTGTGTTATTAATTTTAGAAACCTGAAGCTGCATTATCCGTAGATGTCATTTTATTATATACACGGAAGGCAATGGTTACAAAGGTTCAGTGTCTCACTTTACCCTTTAATCCACCGACTCTAAGGAGAGCCCAGCACTCACCCCTGCAATGGTGCAGGACAGGAAAGGAGGGCTTTGCCATCTGGCAGGGCTGCGTAAATCATAAATCATGGTAGACCGTGACAGAGTTTTGAAATTTATAGTACGTGACGTCATGATTAATGAGACAATGTTATGTTTATAAAAGCAGAAGCTATACTCAGATAAAGGTAACCATTACAAAGAAAACATGAAACTTGTATGGCTACTACATTGTGTCAATACCTGTCATTATTATAACCACAATATTCCCCTTAAACTTGATATTACATATTTCAGAGGATAAGTTACACCACTAACCATTAGGATCTCAGAAATAAGCTGATAAAGACTTTATTCTAAAAATAACTACTTTTAAAATTCCAAAATCAAACAAAAATAAATCTAGGCAAACTGTTAATTTAAATTATTTCAGTGACATCTCTTCATTTCAAAATTTAAAAAATACTTTTCCAAGGCAAGGTCCATCTCTCTGTATACACACAGACACACACAAACACACAAACTCATAAACAGACATTTACCAATTTAGAGATTGCTTTTATGATTACTTAGCTGATTTTTTGAAAGAAATTATAAAAGCCAAACCCCAAAAATTCTTTGAGGGTTAAGCTGGAGTTGTTGGGTTGTTTCAAACATAGTTTAAATAACTAAATAGTTTAAATCTCTGTTTTCAAAACTTCACACTCAAAATATTTTTTGAATTGTAACTTCTCCTAGAAATAATTATTCTCCCAACTCCATCCTCTGTTAGAGAAAATCAGAAATTCACACACCCATTACCTCTTTGTTCCCAACCCTCTGCATGGCATCTCCCAGGTGGAAATAAAATCTCCCATCATCAGTGCCAGGATCCCCGGATTCTATTCCTTCCTGTAGAAAGGACAGTGTTAGTATGGGTAAAATAATTAAATACCAGATTCCATTAATTGATTCACGTAGATTTTCTTATGGAATATCATAAGAAAATAAGCTGATAAAGACTTTATTCTAAAAATTTTTTTAGATGTTTCTTATGGAACATCATAAGAAAATCTAAAAACCAAAATATATGTCTCTATATAAAAATTTGGGAATGAGGTTACGGGTCAACGTTTTCAATGCCAAAACAAAAGGAGGTCATAAAGCTAAATTTAACAATGGATTCATCATTAATTCACAGTGGAATGGCCCACAAAATTAGTACAATACTTTGTGCACCTTCTGTGTGGGAGCAGTCATATTTCAGTATTTCAAAAAATTTCTCTGGCTGGATAGCTCTTACATTTATTTTGCTATCCAAATCTGACCATATGTCATCTAGAGGCTTTTTATTACTAAACCAAAATGTTTAACTGCTCATGTTCGAAGTGATGGCAGCCCACTGCAAAAATTATTTCTTTCCATTCAAAACAAATGTGCCCTTACCTTTTAATTATTTATTTATATTTTACAAAACATACGGGAGAATTAAAGCCAATTTGAATCTTTAAAAATGTAATTTTTATTAAAGAAATCCCTATTCTAAAACATTTACCTAATTTTCTGATTTCTCACACAAGGACTGAAACTGAGATTGATACACTCCATCCCCCTCCCCCTAAAAGAAAAGAGAAAATATTAAAGCAACAGAATGAGTTTAGAAAAGGAGAAGGACAAAAGTTAAAAATACATGTCAAGGACTTCTAAAAATCTGCATCCTTGAGGCCTCTTCACAAGAAGCTTATTATCTTTCACTAGGAAGAAACTGTATTTGCATAATGTTGGAAATGAGCACACTGCATGACCGAATGGGAAAAGCATCACTCAGGACAGGAAGGGAGCTGCGGCCAGGGCTTCTAACTGACCAACGCTAAAGTGTCCTTACTTGATAATGGACCAGCCCAGCTCTCACTTTCCCCGTCTCTGAAGCAGGCAGAGTGCCAGTAAGCCATCCTATGTCAAAGGAAACGTAAGGAGAAACCCACATGCCACGGGGACCTGGCAGGAAATGTGAAGTGCTGACAAGGGGCCCAGGACAGCCCCACCCCAAGGGGGCAACACTGCTTGGCTCTGTATGCAGGAAACTGGGACAGACACAACATTTCAAGAGAAACTAGAAGTCTGCATAATTATATAAAAATGTTCACATTCTCAAATAAGGCAAGCAATTAAAATTGTTTTTAATAGAACTATGCCAGCCAAATAAAACATGCAAGCTATTTGCAATCAGTGGGTTACTATTTGGGATCTCGGATTTAAGTCATGTGAAAGAAAGAAATAAAAAAAGTGGAATATATTTCTATTTAAGAAAAAAGCCTACAGCTATCTCATCAGCAACGTCCAATATGGTAGCTGCTAGCCACACATTACTGCTAAAATGAAATAAAATGAAAAATTCACTTCCTCAGTACCAGTGGCCACATTCAGGAGCTCAATGGCTGCATGTGACCAGTGGCCATCATACTGGAGAACACAGATAAAAAACATTTCCATCACAGTAGAAAATTCTTTTCATTTTAGAGACAGGGTCTCATTCTGTCACCAAGCCTGGAGTACAGTAACACATTCACAGCTCACTGCAACCTTGACCTCCTGGCCCCGAGTAGCTGGGACCACAGGCACGTGCCACCACACCTAGCTAATTTTTAGAATCATCTGTAGAGATGGGATCTCACTATCATGCCCAGCAAACTCTTGACCTCAAGTGATTCTTCCACCTTGGCCTCAAAAATTGTTGGGCTTACAGGTAGGAGCCACTGCGCCTGGCTCACAGCAGAAAATTCTACTGGGCAGCCCTGGGCTAGAACATCTGTGATTCTGCTGAACTGATGAGGATTTAGTTAGATATGAGAAAAAAAGCATATTTTAATTTGAATATTTTGAGCAATGACCTCTTCAGCCAGTATTTGTTACCTCACTTTGCATGGGTAGCTCAGAGTATTCTCTGTACTGTACTGTACTATTCCAAGTACAGTAAATATATAATTAACTTCCAAAAGGAACATATAATGCATTGTCTGTTTTTTGCATTTTTT